ACCGAGGATACCGATACTGACTAAGGCAACAAGGGGAGTGCCTTGAAACTGAGGAGATACGACAAAGGGGTTCTTTTTAGCGGAAAACGCGCAAACTTGTGTCTTCTGGGTATTGAACTGGACTAGATTTAGTCGCTCCTAGTCTGAGACTTTGTTCAACAAAATCTCGACTTCAGACACAAGTTTGTTCCGGTGCTCGGCGACGTTTTCCCGAGAAATATTGGCACGGCCAGTGTGTAAAGCATCACCACTGCTGTCGTCCGCATAGCAATGAATGTTACTGGTTTGCAACCTATCATTGATATGCAGAAGAAACAGCGTTGGTGAAGGCACGCAGCCTTGTGGAACACCAGCGTTAATGGGCTTGTAATCGGAGCATGCACCGTCTACTACGACCTTGATGCTCCGTTCTGCAAGAAAACTGGTGATCCCATCTATGAGTTAGGTAACCTAGAAGATCACCAGCTGAGCGACCTCGACGGAAATCGTACTGGCGGTCACTAATTAGCTGGTGATCCTCAAGGTAACTCATGAGCTGGCAGTTTATAATGGATTCCATTATTTTGGAGAACAAGGAGGTTATGGCGATAGGCCTGTAGTTGGATGGGTCTGAGTGGTCGCCTTTTTTAGGGATCGGGTGCACCAAAGCTGTCTTCCATGAGTTCGGAACTACGCCTAGGGAGTAGGAGTACCGAAAAAGACGCGTTAAAACCAGTGCCAACTCCGGAGCACATGTCTTCAGCACAATAGGTGGGACTCCAACAGACCCACTCGACTTGTTGACGTCAAGGGGAAGAGTGCTTTACCCACCGAACGCTGTTTAAACAGCACTTCCCGCATGGAGCACTCACACCGCAGGATGGTCGGCGTTGTGTTCTCCCCGTCATCTAGAGTCGAGTTGGATGCAAAAAGAGAGCCTAGTAGATCGGCTTTCTCCTTTGCGTCGTGGGCCAGTGAATCGTCCACCCTGTGCAGAGATGGTAGAGATGGCTGACAGAAGTTCGCTTGGACAGCCTTGGCGAGAGTTCCCGAAGGGAGGCGAACTAGTTTCTCGCCAATTCTGCCAATGTGCTCTGACTTTGCCTTGGCAATGACACTTTTGAAGGACCTGGAGGCGGAATTATACTTCTTTTTAGGAGCGCTGGTGTTTACATCCCGGGACGTTGATGCGTCAGTCCAGGCCCGGTAGCACTCCAGCTTATAGCGTGATGCTATTTTACAGGAGCGACCAAACCATGGCTGGGATCTGCCTCCGATGGGCACCACAGAGGATGGAATAAAAAGTTCCATACACTGAAGTACCACATCAGCAACAGAATCGGCAACAACGCTGGGATCTTTCGGTGAGAAGCAAACCCGCCCCCAAGGGTAGGATGCAAAAAACGACCGCATCCCGTCCCAATCGTCCGACCTATAGTGCCAAACATGGCGGCAAGCTGCAGATCGCAACTGCGATGGGAACATGAGTGGCATCGTACTCTGGATCAGACAATGGTCCTAAGAGCCTCGACGGAGACCTGATATCCATCCGGATGAGAGGTCAGCAGAAGGTCCAACAGGGAAGGTACATGATCCTCCACATCTGGGATCCGCGTAGGCGAAGTAACCAGTTGTGTTAGACTATATGCCAAGGCAAAGTCATACACAGATCTACCCGCAAGATCGGTTAAACGGGAACCAAGCCATTCAGCGTGGTGGGCGTTAAAAGCACCGAGTATCACGATCTCTGCGGATGGTCTGTGTCGGCATTACCGCTATGGGACCTATAGAGGCACCACGCCACGCGGGAATGGTCGTCGCTGTCTATGCGCAGCCATAGGATGGACAGGTCCGTACCTTCAAGACTGCCGAGGCGTCGAAAATAGATGTCCTCTCTGACGTATACGCAAACTCCAGCCTGGGGCACAAATGAGTGTTCAAATTTGTACCCCGGGTAGGAGAGATATGAAGTATCAGCCGGAGAGGACACCTGAGTCTCGGTTAAAAAGAGCAAGGCCGGCTTCGCCGTCTCTAGATGGTAATGGACAGCGTTAAGTTTGGAATGAAGTCCCCTGATAATGCAAAAATTCACGGATAGTGTGAAAGGGGTCGCCTTGGTCTTATTGCTCCGCTTGCCCCGAGCAGTAATAGTCGCGAGCGGAATTTTGCCCCTACTTCACGCTGGTTTTTTGTGTGGTCGTAGTACCACCACGGTTCGAACCGGCCCATCCGTGCGACAGCAAAAGCTGCCGCGTGGCTCTACCACTGTTAAAACGAAATGTATTAAATTCACTACATCTAATGTTAAACAGGTGAATACCAATGTGCTATTAAATGGGAAGGGGCTGGACCTTGATGAATCCACAGTTTTTTTCGGAATTGCAGTTGACGAGAAGCTTTAATGGGGCTCTCATATATCTAATAGGTAGTCTTTTAGAACCATTTTAAAACGCATTTGCGCTTCCGATATAAAAAAAATTATAAACGAAAATTTATTATGGAGAGGCATGCCATAGCCTCATTAATAATATAACATTTTTAAGAGAAAAAATATAACCAATTGGGACAACGTCATATTCATTTAATGAATGGATGACACTGCAACATTTTGCTCGAAGGTACCATGGGAAAAGGTGATATGGGATCCGCTGGAGGAAGATTTGTAGAAAATTGTTTATTAGCTTTCCAATGGAAGAGTACAAGAGAATATGATGAGGAAATGGATGCAGGATAATTATAATTTCAAATTAAAAATGTTGTACAGGCGACTTAAAATTCTTAAATTATTAAGAATAACTCAAAAACTATTATTGTTGTAGGCTTAAAACTGTTGTATGCTTAAAAACGTTACCCGCTAGGATTTCCTCCTGTATCGTGAAGGCAGTTTACAAACATAAATTGCACGAGGGCAAACATTCAGACCCGGAGCAATTATTTGTAGGCCATACACATACTTGTTCCATGCGGGATTCGAATCCGCGGCCCCCACCGCAATAACTCATTGCTAAGCCACTGGACCACGGAGCCGTCAAATTATATTAATCAGACCTTGATAAAATTTATATGGGACTACATGTATGATTTTTTTATTTGATTTTTTTTATTGATTTCTCTTGAGAAACACCAGCTTTCAAAAAAAAATTAAATGAATAATTTTTAGTTAAAAGTTAATAGCCTAGCCAAAACATAGGCTGTCAATCACCCTGATTTGTATTTATTTATATATTTTATTATAAAAAAATATTCATCAGGGAAAAGAACGAGGGGGTATTTTTTTTAAACCGGATCTTAGACTATAAGTATAACTCAAAAAATACTAGTCAGGACTTGATTAATCTTATAAGGAACCATATGACAAGCACCAGCTTTCAAATAAAAAAAGAATCATCGAAATCGCTTCACCCAGATAAAAGTTATGATGTAACACACATAAAGAAACATGAGTGAGTGTCGTGGAACACTCGGTTGGAACGAAGTTCTTTTCGTAGTATTTTATTATTTATAAACGTAAAACGTATTATATTATTGATTAACAAATACAAATAAGTGAATTAATGACATCTATTAAAATGAAGCGTCATTTATAATAAAATAATATTTCTTTCATGACAAGATAAGATAAAGCGTAGACCCTCTACGCTGCGTCAGAAGGGGCTGTGACGGAAAAATCTTACACTTTTCTCGCCTAGCGCCCATCCGCCAAATACGTACCGTCCGATAAGGAACTTCGTTCCGAAAGGAAAAAAGAACATACAGTCGAATAGAGTAACATCTCTTTTTTGAAGTCGATAGAAAAGAGTGGTTTTAAACCCTTTTACAAAATATTTCTGCGAATATCACAAAACTACCACTATAATCTTATATGAAATGCTCTTAATGCAAACATATTATTAACTATACTTAAACACACACGAAATGGAAATATCTTATGCTTTGTAAAGAAAATGGAAAGTTTACTGAATGAAGCATATACCAGTGTCACACAGAATAATTGAGCAAAAGTGGTGGAGAAAACAAAGAAAATTATTATGGATGACTTCGAAATAACATTAATTTTGTTACATTATTAAAAACCAATAATAATTAATCTAAATATTGACTTATTAAATATTGACTGAATATATTTATATTTAATCTAATTTCAAAATTTAAATTTATACAATTTTGCCTTTAGATATAAGCAGTAATAATAAATACGAAGAAACTAATAATTCTTGTGTTTTAAATTATCCGTTTCTAATTTATTCTGGTATTAATCGAAACAAAACTGTAAATGATTACAACTCTAAAGAATTGATATCGATTTTTCTAAAGAATCGAATATTGTACGTACCGATTTTTTGGTTGGCATGCCTAGTCCAATAAGTCTGACAGTTGTCAAAACGTATTTCTTAGATTTGGTAGAGTATGGTTGAGTATAGTTCATAGATTAGTCTGTGAATTTAATGCAGCCTTCCTGTATAGGGGAGGTTTTGGCGGGAACTTGACCGGCGGCGGTTTACTGCTCCAGTCTTATTGTTTAAATAATGGTTTTAAGTGGATTTTGATATGTAAAAGTGGTGCGATTTTGTGTATTAAGTGTCTGCGCATGTGAACTATTAGTGGAAACTGTGAAACAAGTGCTCTAATGGTGATGTGATTCTCAAAATAAGGTGTCTGTCTGCTTAGGCGCCTTGAGATACCATCGCCAACCGTCAGCTGTCTGCTGGCTCAAGTTGCCGTCAAAATCTCGCAAGGGCTGCACAATGTGACGCATCAACATATTGTGAAGCAGTATACTATGAAGGATAATTATTATAATATACATATTTTAACTTCAGGCTCAGAAGGGCTAGATCCCAGAACCGTAAAGCCAGTTATTACGAAAGAAAGAACTTTCTGTATAGGATAGTTATACTCAAAGAGTATAGTAATATATAAGGAAGGTTATACTATACTCCTTGAATGCAGCTCAGTCCAGCTTGCTACATATCTACTTATCTATGATGCAGCTCTAGTATATATACAGTAATCTATGATTTAATGGAAAATTGGAAATTGTATGTACGTAGGTGTGAATAGCTGAATATTATAGTGAATAATGATTAAATTATCTTGAAAAAAAAAAATCAACTAGTGAGATAATACAGAATTTTGCAAATATGGCATGTTATATTTATTGTATATATTCTATTATATTGTGATATAATTTCTTCCACTCCAAACCCTACAAAATATCTGTGGATCTAATCTAATCCTTAAAAATGTCTGCGGAATCTGATATGGAATATTCGGACAACGATGGTGACGACTACGATTATTACGGAGGACAAGATGATTGCGATATGGAGACAGTGGATCGAAGCAAGGCTGACCCTGAGCATTTTATATTTTCCTGTTTGAAAGTTGAAGAAGTTGAGAAATTGTTAAATGAATCGATCGAATTGCTAAGCAATAGTCTTCAAATCACACCTTCTCTCGCAAAGGTATAATCCATTATAACACATTTAAAAAACTAAAGAAAAAGTTGTATTTATCCAATACTATGTAACTATTTGTTTACATTTTAGGTGATGCTACATGCCTATGAATGGAATGCAGAAGAGATTATAAATAAGTATAAAGAGAATGCCAATGATGTTTTAGTTTTCAGTCATGTTAAACCTAGAGTACCTTCCATTCAGGGCAATTCCAGTCGAACAGTGTGTGCTGTTTGTGCTAATACACCACCTATTCATAAATATAGTGCATTAGCTTGTGGACATTACTTTTGCAATGATTGCTGGGCAATGCATTTTGAAGTACAAATAAAGCAAGGTATATAAGATGATGAATATTACAATATTATTGGTATATTTTATAATAATGTACAATCTATATTGATCACTAGTACAATTTTTTCAATTTTAATTAATTTATTGTAAAACATTTTGAAACAATTAGTGTAACTTAGTAATTTTCACTTTTGCTGAAATAATGTTTAAATGTGGTTTATCTCTGAGAATAATGTTTATTAAAGGCTATATCATTTTAATGACTGTCAGCTGCCACTAATACCATGCTTTACATATTGTCAAAAGAATATTAAAAATGGAATATTGGATTGCCTCGTCAAAGACTTGCCCCGTTTTAGCATTTCTTACTTTTCTGATCTTTGATTTTCTGTTGGTTAAACAACTATTTATTGTAAGCAGAAGGCTTTCTTAGCTTGCCTACTGTCTTCTAGAATAGTCAAAAACTGGGCATATTAATTGGGATAGTGCTTACCACCAGTGAATGTATATTCTCAAAGGGAATGAGTATAATCGGTTCTGACGCTATTGCTTCTAGAGCTGATACTCCCTGGCTCGTTTGTCAGCTGCGTTGTTGTTGATAGATTCTCTGTGTCCTTTCATTAATTGTAAAGTCACATTGTCATATTTACATATCTCATTTAGTCGTTGATGGCATTTGTATATTATCCCAACATTTATTACACTCTAACAAGGAGCCTGTCCTATTTTTTTCTTTCATCTATGGCCGTGTATATATATGAAAACCTCATCTTTTGAGAATGAGAATGTTAGTTTTGCTTAATTCTATCTTGTTCCTCTTATAAAACACAAATTATAAGGCGATCTTGTTGTACTTCTTGGAAATACATCAGGAAAGGTTAATTGTTAAAAATAATTATAGTGAGTGCAGATGTTCAACTTTTTCTTTTGCTTACACTATTAATCATTATCAGCAATAAAAACTATACTTGAGGAGTGCTTTTAGCCGGGATGGAAGATGTGATTTAGATGTGGACAGGCGTGTCGCTGCCGGGAACAAAGTCAATGGTGCCCTGACTGCATTAGTCAAAAGGCAAGGCGTAGTGAAGAGTGCACGCCTTGCAATACATAACGCAGTGTTGGTACCGACTTTGGTATATGACAGCGAAACCTGGGTATGCCAGAAGAAGCATAAAAGCAAGTTGAATGCAGTGGAGATGCGATCTCTTCGTAAAATGTGCGGCGTTACCATGGCCGACCGAAAGCGAAACGAAGAGATTCGCAATATGGCAGGTTTGAAAGATGACCTTATCACAAAAATTGATAAGGGCGTGCTTCGGTGGTTTGGGCACGTTGAACGAATTAGTGAAGACCGAATGGTGAAGAAAATATATAGCGCGAAAGTTAATATTAAAAGGTGTCGAGGTAGACCGAGACTAACTTTCGAAGACCATGTGAGCAAATTGCTCGAAGAGGGTAGGGTCAAGAGTACTCGCATACCTAGACGTGCATGTATGAAGAAGATAATGAATCTGAAAGAAGCGAAAGAGGTATGTAAGGATCGTGACACTTGGCGATCTGTTCTCTCTGGCAACCCCGTCAGGGATTGTGCGTGAAGATAAGTAAGTAAGTAAGTAATCAATAAAAACAGTGTACATTCAGTATAGAACAATTACAGTTCAACCATACCGTAATATGTCTACATCACAATTATACAGTTACATGTTACACAGTGGTGTAATGTGAAGGATGTAATTATATGATAACACCTAAATATGCAAACCAACAGCAACACTACCCAATTTATTATAACATACAGCAGCCTCATAGCGACACCATCTTCTTTGCCAGCACTAGAAGAATTGCTGCAATAAAAGATAGAACCACGACACTGTCATTAGCACTCATAGAATGAATTAGATGGATTCTCTCACACACTAAACCTACAGTGAAGAGTGGTGGGGTTTCCCAATATACCCTCAATTCCACTTCACCACCATTGATATGATGCTCTGTTACAGTGACGTAACCTCGCTCACTCTCGATCTAACTGGTATTATATAGACACACCGACATACCTGGCTTTAGGGTTGAAATTTTGTTGTAAATTTTATTGATTATACCTGTATTAGTATAGAGTATATAGTACTGTTACTCTAAATGTTAAGCATTTTGAATCCTATAGCAGCTTAAGAAGCTTCTTTTTATAAGTGAAAATAAAACAGGGTTAGTTCCAGTGTGGCCTCTAAGACTGCTGTTAGTGTAGTCCTGTGACAGCCATACAGGACCAATAGAGTTGAAGTAGATGACTGTTCATCTTAAAACTGTTACCATTAGGGACAGGTTGGCAACCACATTTCTTATTTTTAGTTGTTTTAAGGAAGATGCTGCTGGCCATCTTCTGGTTTGTTTTCTTCTGTTGTCTCAAAGACACCCATGGGATAATATGGGGCATCACTTCCCCATATCATCCCATGGGGGATTGATCCAAATTTTGCACTGCTACTATCGGGTTAACCTAAAACATAAACTGATATCTAATTCTTCTATAGTAAGTTTTTCTATATTTGCACAAAAATATTTTATACTAATGACCTTTAATGGATTCTTACAAATATTATCCGACAGAGGTTATACCTATTTTAATTTCAAACTTCAACAAATTGAAATGAAAAGTTCTAAAGTTTTAATTTTTTACGTTTTGTTATAATGAAAAACATATAAAAAATTATTAATAAAGTAAAATATATATTGATTATATTTTACTTTATTAATAATTTTTTAATCAACATTTATTTTATATAAAAAAAGTTAATAAATTTTTAATATTTTTAGTTTAGTTTAGTTTACGACGGGCTGTTTTCCGCAACTCCACGTCTATGCGCGTATTTTGCGTGTGGGCAGGAATAATGTGATTATTCGAGCCATGAGATCTCTCCGAAGAAGCTCAACAGGCCCTTGATGTTGCATGCAACTTCGGGGAGTGATCCCGGCGTGCCGAGATGTTTAGCCCTGTATGTAGCGACCTCCGGACATTTCAGTAGCACGTGGGCCGCCGTTTCTTCCTCCCCCATACATGCCCTGCACAGGGGACTATCTGTAACACCTATAGTAAATAAATGTTTGTTAAAGGTGCCGTGTCCTGTGATAGCACTTGTTACTATCCTAATCTGCGGCTTGTTCAGTCTCATTAAAACTTTTGTTAAGCGACTGTTAATTTCAGGCAGGGCATCCCTAGCTTGTCTACAGTCTACTAGATTTTTCCAAAGCTGAGCGTGTTGATTAGTAAAGTGTCTACGTACCAGTGAACAAACGTTACCAAAGGGGATTGGTATGATTGGTTCCGGCCCTATAGTGGCCAAAGCCGATCCTCTTCTGGCAAGTTCGTCTGCTGCATCGTTGCCTCTGGATCCACTGTGACCCTTTATCCATTGCAGGGTCACATTGTTGTTTTTACATACCTCATTTAATCGTTGATGGCATTCATATATTAGTCCCGAGTTCACCACATTGCATCTCAGGGCTTGGAGTACCGCCCTACTGTCGGTCAGTATTCTGATGGGGAAGTCATTAACCTTCCTAGCATCTATTGCTATGGCCGCTTGAATGATACCCATACATTCCGCCTGAAAGACCGTGTTATAGGTACCCAGCGGTGTGCATATGTGAATATTGAGGTCTTCAGAGAAAGCTCCACAACCTACACCTTCATTTGTTTTAGAACCATCGGTGAAAATTCTAAGCTCTTTTGGGCTTAATCCTTCCGGCTGGCTGTTTTCATTTAACTGTATCTTGTATTTCTTATCGAAAACAAATTGTTTAGGAATCCTATCGTATTTGGCTTGTAGGATAGGAATTTTTGAGTGAATTCTATCAATTATGCCTGTATGAGGGACACTATTCTTACTCCAAAGATTTAGGGTCTTGAGTCTGATGGCAGCTAAAGTCGCTTCTTGTTGTATATGTAGATGAAGCGGAGTTAGCTCCAGCATCGCTTCTAAGGCTGCTGTTGGCGTAGTTCTCATGTTTTAGTAGTGCACAATTTTTAATATATAAAATAAAGTAAAAGAAATAAGTAAAGACCCAATCAGTCTTAAGGCCCTTGGTAGGGGGAGACCTAACGGCCAAGGATTAGAAAAGGAAGAAAATGGCGGATTGTGTCGAATGCACCACCTTTAAGCATTTGAGCCCGGAGTGATCTGTTATGGAATTCCAGTCACCTCAGATTACCAGAGAGGCTGACCTGGATTAACTTAATAGTTGTTCTCAAATAGCCAAACCAATAGTCCTATCGTAGAGTCTACGTGGTCATTTTCAGGTTGTGTCTACTAAATACTCAAAATTGGAAAGTGCCGAACAACTGGAGACCACATACTCAAGTGACTCACCAGGATAGTGACGTGACAAGGTCTACAAATGTCGACGGTGCTGTCCCTTAGAATGCACCTCGATAGTTGTTGGCCTTAATAATCTGGTCTCATATCACAAAGACAAAATCCTGGGTTTCCTTAATAAGGACACTGAAACATAGCCAGTAAAGTTAAACTTACCGTGAGGCTCCTTCCATATGGTCTCCCAGTCAGAAATGCTCTGTATTGTCATGTTCTGGCATTGCTTGTTGGCTAAGAATAGAGGAGTAAGCCCTTTATCTCACGAATTTACGCCCGTGTAGAATGGTTTATCAAATCTTGCCTGGAAGTAATTACGTAGGTTGGACACTTGACGATAATTCATGATGAGGGTGTCTAAAACTATTATTATGTTTAAATGTGTAGTCAGGCATTTAGTTGAAACAACTGATGGTGGTCTGTATTTCTAGTTATTTCACATCTTTTTTCTTTAGTCATCAATTTTTATTTAACATTATTGGAAACAATTATAATTCATATTTCAGGTGTTTCAAATACAATACAGTGTATGGCACAGGATTGTGAAGTATTGGCACCAGAAGACTTTGTTTTGTCGCATGTTACAAAGCCAGCTCTGCGAGAACGTTATCAGCAGTTTATGTTCAAGGACCATGTGAAATCACATCCTCAGTTAAGATTTTGTCCTGGTCCTAATTGTCAGGTTTGTTTTTTTTACTTTACTTTCTTTACTTACAATGTTTAGCGATTGATTATAAAATTATGTGCAAATAGAATCAAGTTTTTACTTGTAACAATAATTTTATTTAAGACTAGCTTTTGCCGGCGACTTCGGCCGCGTATATATTATACTAGATGATCTATCAATAATTGCACTTTCATAGTAAATTCCATCACCCTCTTTAGGGATGTTTTCCGTGATTAAAGCTGTCCTATTTCCTTCCCCGGGACTTAAACTATCTCGATACCAAATTTCATCTAAATCGGTTCAGCGGTTTAGGCGAAGAAGTACATTTGCTCACACGGCGATGAGCGATGTTTTCCCCCATCTCACCCGCAGTACGCCCGACCGCCCTGCGCGCGCCGGACCGCACAATTTTATATCGTCATTACTTTTAATATCTTTGACCAAATTACGTAGTTCAAAAGACAAAGTATATCTACTGTGAACATCAGAAGCGATTAAAGTATTTACTTTGATAAAATCCATTTGTTACTGCAATATGTGCATTGGAAATAAAGTATCAAATATTATTTGTATTTATGGTTCACTATTTTGGTAATAATGGCTTAATAATAAATAATTTATTTCGTCAAACATTAAAGTTACAGTATATGATCAGTGATCAAGGTCACCTAGTAAGCAAAATAATGCCTGTAACAGGTGACTTCACTCTTCCATAGCTAAAAATTACAGTATTATTAACGAAATAAAGTAACTAATAGGGAATAATAAAGACAGTATAAATATGATTTTAGTATCCTACCTTTTAATTTGATTTTAGTATCCTACCTAGTCTCATAGCATTAATACATTAATAAATCAACAATTTTTAGGTTGTATTTCATATATGTAGTGTAAGTGTATTAGGTATTTGTAGTATGTGATGTTGTATGTGAGTTTGTACATGTTGTATGAATAGTGTGTGAGGATGTATTAAGTATGTGTGTATGTATGTGTATATGTTCATTTAGTATTTGCATTGTAATAATGTCTCTGTTTCCTCATAATTTAAAGGAGTTAAAAAAATTGTAATCAATTTCTTACATACCTTATATGTTTTGCTGTAGATCTCTAGTTCTTTGTTCAATTTGTTATATAGTAAACTCGAGCGACTTGAGTATTGTTTACTGGAAAATGCAGTTTTGGTTTTATTTAATACAGCAACTGCTTTTCTTCTTTTTTGTTTTATGCTGACATCATAGGTTAAGGTTTTATGTTTTTTTAATATAGTGTGTAGAATGTACAACTTTCTCACTGATAGGACTTTACTGACAGAGTAAAGTTTATCAGTTGAAAACCTTCTTTTTTTTAAGTGCATTACTTTTAAAAGAGCATGTTGTGCATGTTCTACCTCCAACATTTTACTTTTATCCGTCCCTCCCCAAATTGGGATGCAATATGTTAGTAGAGACTGTGCTAACGCTATATAGATTTCCATAAATATATTCCTTTGAGAGTACTGGTCACCCAATCGTTCACCGGCACTACACATCTTAGGGTCTTAAATATCCAGATCAGTTTCCTAACCCTGTCTGTTACTTGCTCAAGATGTAGATGCCAGGACAACCGTTGGTCTACCATCACTCCCAGGTACTTAGTTTTGTCAGTTTTTTTAGTAGTAGGACAAACACAGTCAGCCAATCCTGGATAGAAATTACAGGAGTGTATTTTGATTTCAAAATCAAGACGAGGTTGTGATTGTTTAAGGATGCTGTAACAAATAAAGTTCGTCTTTTCTGTATTTAAGGTAAGAAGACTATCCTTTAACCAGTTAGCAACTAAGCTCATACCTAACTCAGCTTTTATCTTGACATCAATCCAACTCTTCCTGTGAAAATAACAGTAGTGTCGTCGGCATACGAAAGAATATGGGCTTTATCGATTTTCAGAAAACAAAGATCGTTAATATAGACTAGAAAAAGTGTGGGGCCAAATACACTACCCTGCGGCACGCCGTACGATACCGTGACATCGTCACTCGTAAATGTATTAAGCTTCACTATTTGAGTTCGATTCGAGAGGTAGCTCTTAAAAAGAGACAGTGCAGTGGCTCTTATACCAAGTCTTTCCAGTTTATGTACAAGAATAGGGATAGAGACTGTGTCAAAGGCTTTTTTGAGGTCCAAGAATACTGACAAACATTTATTTCCCTTGTCCACCTGTTCAGTTACAATTTGACTTAGTACAGTTACTGCATCCTCTGTGGATTTACCTTGTCTGAAGCCAAATTGTGTAGAAGATAGAAGTTTATATTTGTTTAGGTAATTTAAGAGTAGTATTTATAAGTTTCGCTATTATTTTTGAAATTGCCGGGAGAATTGAAATAGTTATATTTTGAATTGAAATTTGAATTTTGAATTAGTCTATAGTTACCAACTACACATATTCTTGTGTGTGGTGTTGGCTTTTATAAACTCATAAGTTCAGCTATTAGACGGTCTGTTACTGTGTTAGGGTCGGTACAAAATAATAAGTTGCTTGCGAATAATCTATATAAGTTTTCGTTCTAGTTATTGTATATTTAAATGTCTTTGTTTTAGAAAGAGAAATTAGAATGGTAAAATGGTCGGTAATCGTAGTATGCAAAACTGCAATAAATGCAGAAAATTTAAAGGGTTACACATAAAAGATAAGATATATACTGTCGCGGACTTTTTTGTAGAACTATTTAGGAGAAACAATTCCAGCATACATTATATTTGTGTAATTCTTACAGTTTTTCCAACGCACGCAAAAGTAGCTTGCAGATGATAGATTTTTCTTTTTTAGACAGAGACTTTATCATTATATTTTGACCAATTTACACAATATTTTTATTAATTATAGCCTTTTAGTTTTTCTGATGTATAAAACAAAAAGCTAGCTATATTATTGTAAAGTTTCATTAAGTACTGATTATAGTCCACGTTATAGCCTTTCCTAAGCATTTATGAAAAAAGAAAATTCTAAGTACAAAAACGTTTCTTTTCTGTAAAATTTTTCTTTATTTTTCTTAATGCAAAAAACTGACTTCAAAAAAGGAGGAGGTTTTCAATTCGACTGTATTTTTTTATGTGCGTTACCTCAGAATTTTTTTCTAGGTGAACCGATTTTGATGATTCTTTTTTTTATTTGTAAGCTGGTGCTTCTCATGTGGTTCCTTATAAATTTAATCAAGTCCTGACTAGTAGCTTTTGAGTTATACTTATAGTCTAAGATCCGGTTTAAAAAAATACCCCCTCATTCTTTTCCTTGATGAAATACTTTTTTTTATAATAAAATATATAAATAAATACAAATCGGGGTGATTGACAGACATTTGGCAAGGCTATTAATTTTTAATTAAAAATTATTCAGTTAATTTTTTTTGACAGTTACGGTCATTCTTTTCTTTGATACAATTGGTCTCAATCGAAATATAGAAAATGCCAAAGCATGGTTGACTACCTTATTCCATGCAAGAATACCTGTCTACCAGGTGTAAACAGGTAAACTGATATAGTAATTTACTTTATTTATTAATTGACTTTTCCAATCGTGGCAAGACTAGCGATTGACACAATTTAACGTTTCAATTATTTTATTTTAAAGTAGAGTGTGATAAAGAACACTATATATACCTATTATTATGTGCGGTAGGGAAGTATGCACGATAGCAGCTGCGCGTGAGACGCTTGCCGGAAAAGAGAAAGGTGCGTGTTCAGTTCTCTGTCTAATAGAGAAATATTATGTACTCCCACCTCAAACTATTCCGGATCTGGAGCAGACTACGTTTTCAATATATATATATGTTTTGGAACGAAGTTCCTTATCAGATGGTACCCATTTGAGTGGACTAAGCAATATCACAATCTCAAGGTTTCCTAAATACAGTTACATTATAAATTTCATCCCCTATTTTGTGACCCTTGGCGATATTTTTTTTTCTCCTGATTTATATTGGTATATGAGGTATAACATATTTAATATAATTAAAGTAAAAGTAAATTTAACTAATTTAAGAGTCTTTAAAATCATCAGACATCTAAATTGGTGAAAAAACACAGTCGAATTGTAACCTGCTCCTTTTTTTACCCGATTTCAGAACAGGATTTTCATTATTCATAATTTCCAACTCGACTGTATGTTCTTTTTTAATTGTATTGCTTTAATTTACATTATGATAACAGTAGTGTATTATTAATTACTATCTGTTCCCCGCGACTTCGCCCGCGTGTGATTTAGGGTTTTAAATTTTTTTGAGCGGAACCCTAATTATTTTTCTAAAATTAAAGTAGCCTAAGTTACTCCTTATAACATCAGCTATCTGCCAGTGAAAGACCCATCAAAATCGGTCTAGCCATTTGGAAATTAGCCGGATTAAACAGACAGACAATTTTTTAAAAAATTGTGGATTTATGTACCGTATGTACTTTCATATTCATTTAGTAAAAAACTGTTACTTTGACATTAAAAAACAGACACTTCAATTTTATTTATTTGTATAGATATAGATATAGATTATTATTATTACAGTGGATTTATCAGGCGTGGGTTCGAGTGGGCGCCCGTCGTGTAGAATGCCTTGGCTGTGAAACACTGACCTGTTTCTCCTGTGGAGCACCTCATCATGCGCCAACTGACTGCGCAACTATACGCCGATGGCTGACCAAATGCGCTGATGATTCTGAAACAGCTAATTATATTAGTGCACATACAAAGGTTTTTAGTTTAGTTTTGAAAATTTTAATATATATTTAGATATTTGTTGATGGTTCTATTAGGGAGTGTGTTACTTCTGAATGACTTGACCAATTGTCTTATTCAAACAATACATATCCTTCCTTAGATCCTATGAACCATAGTTTTGTCAACGCGATGGTTCATAGCTATGCTAGGATCGGCTAGTTGTTACTGTAGTCAAGTTATTAACCAGCTCTATATTTATGGACTAAAATTATTCATATTCACAAAATGATATGTTCGCTTAGAGCCAAAAATTAAACCAGAAAATGTGGACCTCATAGGTAATCCATTTTTTAATCAATATTTAATTTACACTACGGCCATGTAAACTTTAACATGTTTTATAGAAAATCGTTTAATTAGTTAAAACTAATGGGTTTTCGTTATTGTGTCTTCATTGCAAAACAACATACTATATATAGTTATTGTCTAAAATATCATCGTCTAGGGCCTGTGAGGTTTGGGTATAGCAACTGCAGTAGCAGCTTGTGTTGGAATTAAATGTTTCACAGTCAAGGACCGCCTTCTCGAGTTCTAAATCAATCTAGTTGTCATTAGCGTCATGGATAAATATATACCTATTACGACACCTACTGGACAAAATAGAGTGATAGAATTTGCAACTGGAAAAATATTACGTCCTCTCCTCAAGGCAATGTAGTTAAGTATATACCTATGCAAAGTGATATATTTATTTGTATATCTATAATATATGTAAATATAGATTTATATTCCTGTAATGCATTTTAAATTTTTTGCAGGACTGTCCTAAATGTCAAATATGCATAGAGAAGAATGGGGGTTGTAACCATATGCAATGTGGGGCATGTAGATATGACTTTTGTTGGGTTTGCTTGGGTGACTGGAAATCCCATGGTTCGGAGTATTACGAATGCAGTCGTTACAAAGAAGACCCTAATTTAGCAAATGATAACCAACATGCTCAGGTAAGCTTATTTAAATTTCTATTCAAGAAAGATATTTTTTTACAATTTTATTTTAAATACTTGTAAATGTGTTTTATTTACCTATTTCAGGCTAGGGAAGCCTTGAAAAAATATTTGCATTACTATGAAAGATGGGAAAATCACGCTCGGTCTTTGAAACTGGAAGAACAAACATTAGCAAATTTAAAAAGCCGCATCAATCAGAAGGTAATCCATATGATTGTAAATCTCTAAACATAAATTTTAAATTTAAAGTAATATAAAGTCCTAATCTATTCGTCTCACCAGTCCATAAATAGTACAATGCTTTACATGAGCGTTTTGCATTGTATGTGCAAAGATTTGCAGTGATGCAATGTTTGACAGACGAATTGGCGATTGCAGCACCAGATGTGTCGTACCTTCGACACTAATGCGAACCTTTTGGCATTTTTTATTTTTATTTTTCATTCTAGGTCATGGCCGGCGAAGGGACTTGGATTGACTGGCAATATCTTTGGGATGCAGCCAGATTATTAAAGCGTTGTCGATACACTCTTCAATACACATATCCATATGCATATTATATGGAAGTAGGGCCGCGAAAAGAACTTTTTGAATATCAGCAGGTTTGTTAGTTTTTAATATGAAATGTTTATGTCAAAACTTTGGCAGCAATGATAAAATCTTTTTTAAACCTTTTAAATCTTTTCTAAAATTGAAAATATAAAATATTTTTGATCTTTTGAATTGACCACCATATTTTTTAGAATACATAGCATATCAGGGTCAAGAGTAAATCCAAAAAGTATTTTTTTTAAATCTAATTAAAAAAACTATGTTTTTAAATTAAATTTTATTAATGAAAGCTATGATTCGACTTTTAAAAAAAAATTATCATTTAAAATGATATACAATCTGTATAAAGTCACCAATATTGCTTGAAATTGATGCATACCTAAAATTTACTCAATTACATTAAAAAACAATAATTTTATAGTCTGTTAATTTGAATTATGGAGAAATTGTTGAGAATTGGTACATTCATTGAATGTCATATTTTTTCCGGTTTTAACCAAATCCTTATGCACTATCTATTTTTAAAATAGTTTCAAATGTTTTAATTGAATTGTGTGTGTGTTCTTGAAGGCCCAATTGGAAGCTGAAATAGAAAATCTTTCATGGAAAGTAGAAAGAGCAGAAACCACCGACCGCGGTGACTTAGAAAATCAAATGGACATTGCTGAGAAACGAAGGACAACTTTGCTGAAAGATTTCTTAGAATTTAACACAAATAACGCCTCCAGTAGTAAAGTTTAAGAAGTATCAATCACACAAATGCATTTTAATTGAAACATAATATTATGACAGCATTGTGCACCTTTGTAAAATAATTATAAATGCTAAGAATTTTCTTTTGCCAAAGTACCTATATTTATTAACGTAATTTTGCAATAAAATAGGCAATGCTGTGATGGTGTCTTATTATTTTAAAAGTAATGATTTCTATACGGGAGTCTTTAATTGAGCTATATTATGTCTTGCTTGTTCCAGTACTGCAAACATACTGCTTACATACTAAGCAGTATAATCCCATAGGCTTCAGCTCTCCAAACTTTTGACCTAGGAGAAAGTTTAGTTTTAGAACAAATATAGTAAACTGATTTTTTTTGACTTTGTTATTTGAAATATTACTTTTTAATTATTAAATATTATTAGTCCTTACTGAAAATATGATACACCATCCCCTTTTAAAGTAGTTTTTACAATACAGTATGGCATTTTGAATGAAGACTGGCGCGCGATTGGAACTTTTTTGGCTCGGACATTTGAGTGCGGAACTGAGGTCCATTTAGTAGGAGGTCAATGATGGGATGTATAAAAACATGTAGTACATTTTATTTATTATAAGTAAGACCTATGTCACAGTGACTGAAAGAAACTGGCACAGTCAGAGACAGGGAGAGCAAACACTGTGTTAAGGCTGCATTACGAATGCGTCAGTCCGACCAGGGAAGAACCATGGTTCGGTCAGACGGTCACTACGGTACAAATACATTGCGCACTAAGTTACGGCCAATTTTCCGTAACGTTTTTAGTCGATTGCGAGCGGGCGAGAAGACTAGTTCTTTGTTTTGTAAACCACGAACATTGTTTTTCACAATCATACACCGATTTTGTTTAAATTGACTAAAAATCGCTGTCATTATTTATATGCACACTTTTTCAACGTGATTTGAAGTTTATTTCAGATAAGTGAGCCCTCACTGATAACACAGATTTTCTGACAGGTCACACGTCCTCGTGTGAAAACTAAAAGTAAGGTAAGTCAACGGTAAGCAGAAAAAACATCATTAGTTAAAATATCGTATCGGTAATTCTGACCATGAACAGTCAACCCGTGTTTTTTTTATAGGATAGGGTGACAAACCAGGACACAGTCCACCAGATGGTAAGTGGTTGCTGTAGCCCATAGACATCTACATCTATCCTCAATAAAGACTTAAGATGCAGATGCGTTGTCACCCGTGAGGACTAAGATGGAATGCCTCTTTGCCAGTAAAATGGGTCTCCGGTTCTCTACACTCACCATACGAAACACAGCAGCGTTAAGCTGCTATTTTAAGCTGGTTTTCTGTGAGAGCGTGGTCCTTCCCCGGTCGAGCCGACCCATTCGTACTACAACTATACTACTAATATAGCTGCAGCATGGCTCTACCACTTTAAAAGATATCGCAATTTTTGCTCTAACCATATAAAAAAACTTAGTAGAAATTATAATAGGCAAAAAATTAATAATTCAATTAATTAACCTAAAAATTATGGTCCACGATAAATGAGATTACGCAATATAAACCTCCAAAAACTAATAATGTTGACCTACTTAATTCAAAATCGCATCCTCAAATCTAAGTAAATCATGTTAATAATTACTTTATCAACATTGGGTCTAATTTAAAAAACCACGTAAAAAAATTTGTGTGTGCAAATTTGCAGCATATGAAGCTTGCAGTATAGTATATTTCATTACGAGTGCGGAAAGCCTGTCATTGCAGAGTTCCGACAAATGTCTATCTTTAACGCTCAAAAACATATTTTAATATGATCTATAAATTACCAAAAACATATGTTCCAAACTATTTTCTCTTTTTTTGTTTCTTGTCATCCGATCTTATCCCTGATATAAAGAAATTGTAATTTTATGGTTCTCAAACTTTGTTATGACAAGATAGAATTACTCAATGTTAGGGAAAATCGGATGCATTTGATTTTTTTTGGGAAAAAAAATTAACAGCAAGGACTGGTGAAATGGGATAATACAGGAGTAGATGTTGATAGATTATTTTGTGTGCATATTTGTGTATGTGTATCAATAAGCAGGCGTGAGCCTATTTATAGAGTTAAGTAGAATCAGAATAAGGGCATGAAGTCGGAAAAAGTAAAGCAAAGTTGACTAGACTAGGAAAAGGAACGTGGGTTGAAAGTTTCCCGTGAAACTGAATTACTTTATCTAATGAGATAAATATGTAATGAGATGAGATAAACGTTACCTGATGAGATAAATGTGTCAAAGAATAATTTTTGTAAGGATAAAACGATAGACAACAATCAAAACCAAGAAAATAATATGCGTTTGAGAATATTTTAATTATTTTTTCCTTCCGCTTAGGAATAACAAATTTCACGTCATCTTTTTTGCCAATAGTTTTATAATACGTTATGGTGTATTTTCTTGGGCTTAAATTAATATTCTCAATGACACCGGCATAATATTTCCAAGCCTTTTTATAGTATCGAACTAGAACTTTATCTCCAATATTGTATGTTGGTTTCAAATTAGTAATATCATCTTTATCTCGTCCGCCGTCAGTTATATGAATTCCAATATGAAGTTGCCACAGGTGTTCATTTGATCTTTTGTCACTATTTTTACCGGATTATCTTTATTTTTTATTTTTTTCTTAGATGTGTGACCTATGTCTGTATTTTGTAGTTTTTTCTCCTTTAAATCTATAAATATATCCCTATCTAGGTTAATAGGTTTAAGTTGTAAGCTTCCATGAGTTTTGTAGAAAGCTTGGTTTTCAGGTGTCAATTTTACGGATGATAACATAGTCACTTTTTACGTTGCCTTGTCTAAAGTATTTATATCATCGCTATCTTTGTCTTTCCAAATATCTTTTGTCTCAATAATTTCGTCGCAGGTGTTGCAGGTCTGTGCGGCTTTTTCTACTTCCTGTAAATTTTTAACAATTTGTTTAATTACCTGATCTTTAGATAGTGGTTCTAATTCAGTCTTTTTTCTCTCATAATTTAAGTTAGTCTTGTTCCATGTATCAAAGTTATCAGGTAATATATCACTGAGGCAATCTAATAAGTCAGAATCACTATGTACACTCATTTCAATGCTTTCATCTGTCGTGGTAATGCTAGGAGTCCTCTTACGTTTTGTTACAGACTTTTTGTCGTAGATTTTTTTTCCTTCTTTTGTGATGCCCATTGGTTTTTTAGTCTTGATTTTTTGTTTATATCAGGGTCGTTTAAAACCGTTAAATCCATTAAATCGTCTGTTAAATTGTTAGAAAAATAATTCCTATCATCTCCAGAAATAAGATTTTCTTTGTCAGTCCGAGTTTTCTTTCCTGTACCTTTTCCTTTTTTAGTAGTATATCTGTTATTATTTGTCTTGTCTGTCAAACATTTGCTTGTTTTTTCTCTTTCTTTTGCCTGTTTTGTTTATTTTTCTCTTGTTGTTTTTCTGGATGTGTGTGATGGATGAATGTGTGATGGAGCATGAATGTATAAGCCCAAGACTCCTCTGGATTAGGTTAAAAGTCGGACTCACTCGCTTGTTTATCCTTGGGGTCTATTCACCAACGGATCTGCGTGGAGGTGGGTCCATAAAAACACAACAAGAGAGAGAGGAATTTTGGGATAGCATGAGAGAGGTCTTGAATAAATGCGGAGAAAATGAACGGATCGTGATGTTAGGGGACTTTAATGGATGGGTTGGAGTAAAGCGTGATGGGTATGAAGGAGTTCTGGGTACGTTTGGGGACGAGAGAGTGAATGACAATGGGAGAAGCCTGCTTGAAGTATGCTTGGAATGGAATCTGTGCGTGGCCAACACAATGTTTGACCACAAAAAGATCCATTTGTATACAAGAGATGAGGGTGAGTCTAGAAGTATGATTGATTTTGTAATTGTGGATGAAAGACTGAGGAAGAAAGTGCTAGACACTCGGGCATACCGCGGTGTAGGCCTCGACACAGACCACTTCCTGGTCATAGCCCGAATGCGTGGCCTCTTTAAACGGTGGCGACACCGAGTGGCCGAGCCTACGAGTGTTTTGGACAGAGTAAAAGTGGAAAATCTACAAGAAGAAGAAAAGAAAGACGAGTATGTAGAGAAACTGAAAGAAAGTTTTAAAGGGATAGAAGAGATAGGAGTGATTGAAGATTTGTGGGAGACATTTAAGAAAGGGGTCGTAAATGTTGCTATCGAGGTATGCGGGGTAGCTAAAAGAAGGAAAGGAAGAAAGAATGATAACGTGTGGATGGATAAAGATGTACAAAAGGTTGTGCAAGAAAAGAAGAAAGCGTGGTTGGATTGGTTAGCAACAAAAGCTAACCAAAAAGTTCAAAAGGCAACGGATGACGTGATAAAGGAAGCAAGAACGAAGTATAAAAGATTGAAAACAGCAGCGAAAGAAATTGTGTCTAGAAAGAAAGAAGAACGAAAGGATGATTTCGATAGGAGGCTCACTGAAGATTTCCAGTCAAACATTAAGTTTTTCTGGAAAACCATCAAAACAGCCAGAGGAAAATCTTCTACCTCTGAGCTGAGTACAATCAGGAGTCAAGATGGGAGCATTATAAAAGGAGAAGAATATGTGTTAAAGAGATGGAAAGAGTATTTTGAAAGTTTGTTTGAAAGAGAGGAAGTGCAGGTACAGCATCTGCCACCTTCCACGGAAACTAATATAAGTGTTGATGAATATGAGATAAGCATGGATGAAATAGTGAAAGCGTTGAAAAGTATGAGATTAGGTAAGGCTGCAGGGTATGACAGGATTACCGTCGAGATGCTGAGGGCTGGACAGGGCCTGGTGGCTAGTCAGCTGTACCGCCTTTTCAATCTGGCGGCTCCGTGGCGCAGTGGCTTAGCAATCAGTTGTTGCGCTGGGGGCCGCGGGTTCGAATCCCGCACGGAACAAGTATTTGTATGGCCTACAAATATTGTTCCGGGTCTGGATGTTTGTCCTTGTGCAATTTATGTTTGTAAACTGCCTCCACGACACAGGAGAAAATCCTAGTGTGGGGGTAATGTTTTTTTTTAATAATAAAGATAAAGAATCTGTGCTGGCGAAATGGGCAAGTACCGGGAGACTGGTGCAAAGCCGTAATTGTGCCATTGTATAAGGGAAAAGGGTCACGGCAGGACTGCATAAATTGCCGCGGTATAAGCCTTCTCAGCGTCGTCGGTAAATTGTATGCGAAAGTGTTCATTGAAAGGATTGTGAATGAAACAGACAAGAAAGTATGGGATGCACAAGCGGGATTTAGAAAGGGAATGGGATGTACGGATCAGGTCTTTTCCTTGCGGTGCATAGCCGAAAAGTATTTGGCTAAAAACAAGAGAGTCTACTGCGCGTTCGTAGATCTAGAAAAGGCCTATGATAGAGTGGTGAGGAATGAATTGTGGTCAGCACTGTCCGTGAACGGTGTGAGCAGTATCCTCATACGAGCAATGCAATCTCTTTATAGGGATTCTAGTGCTTGTGTAAGGATAAACGGGGCATACACTGAATGGTTTAATATCGAAAAAGGTGTTAGACAGGGATGTGTAGCGTCACCGTGGCTGTTTAATCTGTTCATGGACAATTGTTTGACAGATTTAAAAGAGAATGAAAGTGGGTTGAGAATGAATGAGTTACTCGTCAAATGTTTTCTCTATGCTGATGACCAAGTATTACTTGCGTCTTCGGCCGAGGAGTTGCAGGAGATGGTAACTGCTATGAGTGGAGCTTTTGTTAGAAAGGGAATGAAGATGAATGTAAGGAAGACGAAAGTGATGGTGTTTGAAAAAGATGAGGCAGTGACAGACTGCAATATCGTGATTGAAGATGGACAAATTGAACAGGTGAAAGAGTTTGTGTATCTGGGTTCAAAGTTTACAAGAGATGGAAAGTGTGAGAGTGATATCGAAAGAAGAGTGAATGCAGGAAACATGGTGAATGGAGCTTTGCACTCCTTTATGAGCAGTCGGAAGGTGTCTAACAAGGCTCGTTTGGCTGTGCATGAGGGGGTGTTGGTTCCGACACTCATGTACGGAAGTGAAACTTGGGTATGGCAGAAGAAACGTGAAAGCAGAATAAATGCAGTTGAGATGAGAGCATTAAGAAGTATGATAGGAGTTAAACTGAGTGACAGGCTAAGAAATAGTGAGGTAAGGAAACGTTGTGGTCTGAAAGAAGATGTAGTGACAAAAATTGAGAAAGGTATGCTGAGATGGTTTGGCCATGTCGAGAGAATGAATGAAGAACGATTGACGAAAAAAGTGTATAAGGCGAGTGTGAATGAAAGTGTTGGAAGGGGTAGACCTAGGCGGACATTTCTAGACCAAATCAGGGACGTCTTGAAAAAAGGCCAGGTCAAGAGTACCCTAAACCGTAGAGCATGTATGAAGGGAATAATGAAAGTGGACGAAGCAAAACAAGTATGTAAGGATCGTAGCAAGTGGAAAGAACTGGTCTCTGCCTACCCCTACGGGAAAGAGGCGTGATTATATGTATGTATGTATGTATTGTTTTTCTAGAAAAGATGCAGTAACTACTTCCGCACCCTTCGCTATACGTTTTAATTTAAATTTCGTATTGGTCTGAGGATGCTGTGTAGCTTTTGCGAGAAGTAATTCTTCGAAGGAAATGTTTACTGGATGCGATTGCTCGATGCTCTCTTTAGAGTTCAGAGTAAGGGAATTCATTGTTTCAGAATGAGGGAAGGTAGTATTTAGAGCAGAAGCAGAGCTGTAATAAGACACGATTTTGTTTATTTCGTCTAAGCTTATTTGTTTCAGGGATTTTGGTTGATTGCAAGTCGCTTGAGATAATATGTGCTTTTTCCATCGCGCATATGCTTTAGGGTCATACTTTTGTTTTGGTATTATGTCGGCATTAAAAGGGTAAATGCCGCCTTTTCTGAAACCATTTCGGATCATCTCTGGTTTCGTTTCTTGTCACGCTTCTGCAAACATTTCGGAAAAAAATTGTTTCCGTAATTTGGAACCAACGTTTTGCCGCTGCCATTGTACGAGTTTCTTGTCCCAGATGGCTTTGAATGATTTGAAGACGGATAAATCTAGCGGTTGCAATAAATGCGACGTGTGCGCGGGGAACTTTACTATAGTAATATTGTTTTCAACGGCTAAAGCTACCACTTTATCATCAACATGACTGACATGTCCATCGTACAACAACACTATGGGTCTTTCTTCACCCAAATTGGGAATAATTACGTTTATCATGTAGTTATAAAAAATGCTGATTTCCATCCAGCCCCGTTGACTGGCAGCGTATGTAAGTTTGAAATTATATTTGTCTGGATTCTTCACCATCCACTGTTCATACATATGTTTGCCTTTAAATATAATCAATGGGTCTAACTTTTGCCCAGCCGCATTCACAGTAGTCAAGACTGCGATATTTTCTTTTCCATTTCCATACGCCGTTCGCGTACAAGGCTTCCCTTTGGCACCTACAACTTTTGTTTTTGTTGGGTCGAGACAAACAGACGTTGCATCTAAGTTCCATATACGCTTAGGATCAGTAAGATTCAAGTCACGGAAAGTCTTTTGTAAAAGAGCAAAATATTCGTGGATGACAAATGGATCGGTATTTTTCTTCTAAGATACTCGACTGCTTGCGGTTTTTTTATTGATAAATTGTGCCGCTGACGAAAAGAAATGAACCAATCAGGTCCGGGCCTAAGTTATTGCTTATGGCGAATTCCTGAGCTACATCGAGTACCTCTTTTCTGGATAAGCCCCAACCCCATTTTTCCATCACACGAAGACAGTTTGCAAGCTTGATTTCCAATTCTATTGGGATTGCGGTTGATCTGCCGAGGGTCTTGCTTTTTGTTGCTGTTTTTTTCAAGACTCTATCACTCAGCGTGGATGTCGGTATACCGTATATTCGTGAAGCGGCTGCGTAGGAGAGTTCCTTATTTTTAATTCTTTGAATGGCAATTTCAAGGACTTCTTGTTTGTACGAAGTCGCCCGCGTTGTAGTTCTAGTATATTTTCGAGGCATCTGCGGATAAAATTTTAAAGTAAGTAATGTGGTAGTGGCACTGAGTGCATCACAGCTTAAACCAGTTCAAATACATCGGTATCGCACAAAATATATAAGTATATATGTATATCTAATAACTAAGTCCTGTCAAAACTAGAACCGATTTTGAAGATGAAGATAAGTTTCTTAGATTAGTTTCAAAATAAGTTTTGTAATTATCAGTAGTTGAAAGCTATTGAGTTAATGAATAAATATGCAGGTAACCCTTAATAAAGCTAAATATTACAATAAAACGTAAGTTAGCAGAATATAAAAACGAAAATTTTAATTTTAGAGGTCATTCATCACCATATTGCTTCGAAATGCAAATAATTATATATTTATTTTGATGTGTATTTAAAAGTACTAAAACCATCGTATTGTGTTATTACTTTTAAATATTCTGTATATTTAATAACAATACTGAGTCCCATAGTCACTTGAGTAATCTCCGACAAAATATACACGACCAATGAAAGTTTAACAACCACTGCCATATTTGTAACGGGCAAAGATCGGATAATATTCATCCGATCTTCACTCACGCGGGGAAACATCGGATCTCGGCCTACAGCGATCTTAGCCCTGCTTGGACTAGCTTTATCTAGCAATAACTTCATAAAACTTAGTATTCACACAAAATAATAACAAAAGAAGCTATATTCTCGCTAAAAATCATAAATAAAAGTGATAGGGAAAGATCGGATGGACAAAATAAATACAAAAATTACCTTGTTTTACAAAATGCCGCGCAGCACACGTCCCACTTGCCGGAGCGACTGGCGCGAACCATAGATAAATATATATGTAGCAAGCTAACTGGCGCGAACTGAGGGTCAGGGCAGGATGAAATGGCGTCGTGTAGCATATTGTTAGCATTTCAAAATATAGCATGATTCGCCGGGAATTTTAATCCTACGGTCTTGCCCCATCACCGATCTTACCCCAACGCACCTTATTTTGACAGTTGGGAAAGAGAACGCACGAGTTCGGAAAAGGTAAAGCAAAAGCTCGAGTATGTAATACACACATCCCGAACTCTATACGTCCCTGCAATACGCCACTTTTTGAGCAACTGTATTAAAAATAATTATTAAGATTTACCGTTTAAATACCATGCCACAGTGGAATAAATGTTGCAACTAATTTTCACACAGATCACCATCTACCGTGCTAAACAGGCCTTCCGTGTCACACGGGTTCTCGGTGCCACTCGGGCCCTCGGTGCCACAGAAGCCGTCGGTTCCACACAGGTCCTCGGTGCAACCCACTGAAGGTCATTCAACTTGGTACCCAGTACCCGTGCTGTCAATTAAAATGTTCTGACGTCACGGCATAACCAAAATTTTGAATAAGAGATATTGTCCATAGCTCTAATTAAACGTAGTGATTATATTCTCTTTGGCTCTAATGTTTAAATTAACTAGTGCTTTGCATCACTTAGCACTTAACCATCACTACCGTATATATAAATTAACCAGAGATATCTAGAGAGAGATCTAGTGAGGATAGAACAGTAGCGACAAGTCAATTGATAAATATTACTAAGTACAGTTAAAGCCGATATTACACGGTTCAACTTCGGTTCAATACTGCTTTCAATTTAAGTGCTTCAATAGCATTGAAACAACTACATACATTTCAATGCGATTGTGCAATCTCATTGAAAGCTTCAATTCACCGAACGCTATCAATGCAATAGTAGCAATATTGGTCATTGTTCAATACGGTTGAAACGTGTATACATGAAGATTGAACGGCAATTCATTCCGCGCACCGCACGACAGCGAAGCGTACGCACGAAAATGGTTTTCAAGTGGCGTGACAGTTATGTTCCATTATTTTTGGAACGTTTTCAATTGTATGAGTGTTTGTGGAATCCATAATCAAAGTCTTACAAAGATAGAAATCAGCGTGATAATGCTATAAGATCACTGAAGGAACATTTAAATATTGATGGTGTAACTGAAAAGGACATAAAGTTAAAAATAAAAAGTATTCACACAAAATATATTTATGAATTAGCTAAAATTAAAAAATTTACAAGATTTTTGATTTTAAATTATCATAAAGGGCCATTGCACAAAAATACGCTCATAAGCAAGTTATTGTTTATTAAAATAATAGTCATAGTGTTGAAGCCGATAGTGCTGTCGAAATGTAAATCCAAGATGGCGGCTGCAATAGATATCAATTTTTTCATCATGGGTGTCATTTTCATGGTTTTCGAGGGTGCTGAAGCCGATAGTGCGGTCGAAATGTAAATCCAGGATGGCGGCTGAATTAGGTACCATATTTTTCATCATGGGTGTCATTTTCATGGTTTTCAAGGGTGTTGAAGCCGATAGTGCTGTCGAAATATTAACGGCCTCATAAACAAGTGTGACTTATTAACTACATCTTTAGAATCTATAGAAAGTGTAAAAGATGTTAAAGTTTTATGCATTACCGAACACAATATGTCTAGTAGTGATTTATATATCTTAAACATTCCAAATTATTCATTGGGTTCAGTGTTTAGTCGTAGGAATCGTCGTGGTGGATCTTGTATTCTGGTACATAACTCACAAAAGTTTATACCAATCAGTAACATAAAAAAATATTCGATTGAAGGTGTAATCGAATGTTCAGGAATACAATTACCTGAACATAAACTATATATATTCTGCATTTACAGACCCCCCAGGGTAAGCTCCGAAGACATCAGTAAGTTTTTAGCAACATTTACTTCTTTATTAAATCAATTTTGC